CATACTTACTGTGATGCTTATGTTTGTGTCTCTGTTCCTGGCTGCAGGTATGGGTGAGAGTGATCTATTGTGAATACAACATATTTTGAATATGTTCCATCGTGCAGAACACGTATTTTGTATGGTTAATGTCAGACTCAATAATTGTGGACAAAATTAAGATGGCTAAATTTTGATTATTAGTGACCGTAGCTTATTCTAGATCACGGGATTGTAGAGGACTGGAACACCTTAAAAAAATAATAACACCATTTGTAATAGGCCTAACAAGACGCAATAAGTTATGAAAGTCTAAATGAAGTAGCTTTCTACTTTCTTTTATATGTTCACTGCCAACATAATAGTAAACTGGGAATAGCTAGTTTCTATATGAAATTTGTTTGCAAAATGTAGGACTTAATAATGTACATAGGATGGATAAATTACGCGTCAATATACGTCACTGAGGAACGTGAATACAGAAGAATGCGATTAAAGAATGCGTTTGCAATCAGAAGCATTTCTTAAATTTGATATGACATTTATTTTGATGAAATATTTTCATATTTGAAAGAATTATCGCTTTTTCTGTCTTTATAACACTCACCAAAGAATACATTTCAAAGACCACCTGCATTCGTTTTCTGCTCTTGACTCTCGCTGTGACGATTTCATTTCTATAAAAGCTTTGGTTTAGGTCGAAAAAAAAGCCTTGGATATTAACTTCCTATTCAGCTGAAAATCTTTTGCAGGAAATACCGTTATTGTTAAACCTTGCATTGTAATATAGAGATCTGTGAACGACCTTATCGCGCTCTATTCAAGAAAACTTTCTATTGAATGTATACAGAAGCACATATACTGTGAACGAGAAATATCTGTCCTAAGCCGTATTTGATGTGTTAGTGTTATAGACTCAGCACTCCACGTGTTATTGTAGTCATGCGGTATGTCTGAAAGTTAGGAAAATTGTATTAGACGTTGAAGTGAAGTTATACTTTAACTTCTTTATATAGAGTTAGAAACGGTGCGGGGTCGAATAAATCCATTGTCAGCAATGGAACAGGGTTTCTCTAATCACTCTTTTTTTATTGACTTTTGTCTCTTTTCTTTTTCACTAGTGTCATTTTTTTCTGTTCAAAGTGGCTCCAATTCTCTTTTTCCATCTATATATCTGTCTGTCATTCTATCTATCTACCTGTCTGTCATTTTGTCTATCTATCCATCCATGTATCTATCTATTTATCTGAACCTATCTCATTTCTTTTCAATCTACATTTATTGAAGGTATTGCGTTAAAAGTAAGTCTGTTTCTATCCTGCCGTGATAAAGTAAGAATTATTCCAATACTCAGCACATCGTCTAATGTTTCCTGGCTTTCTCGGAGTCGGATAAGGTGTCTGATTACATAGCTTACAAGTACATGTGTTATCCAACATCCATTATCGTATTATTTTCCTATTAATATAAAACATATCGTCAAGAACTATGATAATGTTATAATTCTCATTGTCTGGATGTCTTTCTTTATCATCTTTCATGGGGAAAATATACAAGTTTTTCGCAAATAACCGCGCGAGTTCGATCGTGAGACATCCTGAACTTCTCGTGATGAAGAAAGATACAATATTTCACACAGTCTGCAGTTTTCGGCTACTTGTGTATGTTTCCGTCATTAAAAAGCAAGCGAGGACCTATGTTGATTATTTAGCTAGTATTCGCGTAGCTACTACTTTAAGTGAAAACCTGTCACTTTGTAAATAGCTATATGTGTGACTGTCTTCACTGGCTATTTTTTTCACCAATGATGGTTAGAGAGTAAAACAGTTTTACGACAACCAAATAAAGTTTTTTTGATAACGTAGAATAAGTTCTTAGTTCGTTACGTCACTGTTTCTATGTAACAGTCTGAGTTCAGGGGAAATAAGATCACAGTGAAAGAGAAAGTAAAACATTATTTTTTAGTATATCCAAAAAAATCTTATTAGGACCTAGGGTTGGTAAAAAAAGTTATCCTGAAAAGGTTTACCCCTCCCTCTCCAAAAAAATCCATTATCCTCTCGGTGCAGTACTCAGTATGTTGCTAAAAGTAGAGTCCATCAAATATCTTTGAGGTGCTAGTAAAATGGTTAGTCTTGTCTTGTTTATTATTTATTTAAAATGGCTAGCTGCTATAAAGATTAGTTTCGGGAATGAAACTAGTTCCAGGGTCACAAAGTTTGGTAAATTTTACAAGTAAATGTAATGAAATATAATCAACTGACAACTAGAATCATTCTCTCTTCTGGGTTTTACTTTTAAAATTACGGTATCTTGGAACAATATGTATACAACTGGAAGAAGCCATGAAAGTGGTTACACTCTCACTGTAAACACAAATTGCCTCAGGATGGAATCAGAATAACGTAGGTACAGTTACAATGGTTACACTCTTACTGTAAACACAAATTGCCTCAGGTTGGAATCAGAATAACTTTGGTAAAGTTAAGATGGTCACAATCTTACTGTAAACACGAATTGCGTCAGGTTGGAATCAGAATAACTTTGGTAAAGTTAAGATGGTCACAATCTTACTGTAAACACGAATTGCGTCAGGTTGGAATCAGAATAACTTTGGTAAAGTTAAGATGGTCACAATCTTACTGTAAACACGAATTGTGTCAGGTCAGAATCCGAATAACGTAGGTAAAGTTAAGCTTTGTTTCACAAAGAAGTGCGTGTCTTTCACAAACTTGTAACGATTAAAGAAATGGCATTAACGAGGGAGAGTTTGACCGACCCCAAGAATCACCCAAGGCTATGGAGCTGTTCTTGGTGCTGGTTAATTAATTATTTTCAGCTAGGAAGAACAGACAGACAGACAGAAACTAATAAATATTTAACACATACGTTTCTAAGCAATGACAAACAGACAGCTAGTTAATTCCATATGAAATTTTAACTAGGTAGATGGAAAGAAATACATAAACAGACAGAGATAGCTAGATAAGCAAATAGGTAAACAGATATTTCTTGGATATGAAGTGTTTGACAGTTACCCTAATAGTTCACTGGCTCCAAAAACGTATGTCAACTTTCATGGTGTACATAAAGTTTAGAGATTTAACGGTATAAATGAACGTTAACAACAGCTCGTCGATATAAAAATAGTTGTATGAAGAAAAAAGGTGCAAAGTAAAAAACGAAAACGTTCATGTTTAAGTAATTTGTTACCTGATGAATCTTTTTCACTGCATAACCGTTTTACAGCACGGAATACTTTAAGTTTTTGTTCTAATGCCCTTTTAGTTTATTTGAAAGTGTTTATTTTTGTTTGTTTGTTTTGAATTTCGCGCAAAGCTACATGAGGG